GAAAAAACTATACAAACATGAAAAAAGTGCTCATAAGTATTGGGTCAGTCATAGTTGTGACCATTTTTGCCCATACAAAAAAAATAAACATTTTACAATCAATTACAATAAAAAAATAAAAATCAAAGATGGATTCTTGCCATAAATGTGGAATGATTGGACATTTAACACATGCATGCTGTACTTTAAAATACTTTGTTAAAATATTCCAAAAAAATAAGAAAATTTGAGCTGAAGCTCATGAAGTTTATATCATGGATGCATCTATGGATTCAATTGGTGTTGATGATTTAGAAGCTTATATGAATGACAAAATCTCTAATAATAAGTCAAATGATGCGTTCATTGATTTTGCAACAACACATACTATTCTTCGAGATAGACAATTTTTTTCTAAAAAATCTTCAACTTGGCAAACTAAAAATTTGATGTCTATAGCTGGAGCAAATACATTTTATTTCCAAGAAGAAACATTGATGATAAAATTACCTACGGGCTCTATCATAAAATATAAACATGCAATGTTAGCACTCTCAGTACCTTGAAGTTTGATCAGCTACCAAGATATATGTACTAATGGTTATTACCTCTCAACCACAATTCTAGATAGGCGGGAGGTTTTGGTTCTTATATAGAACCATAAAGTTGTAAAAAAAAAGCCTTTGCTGCAACAAATGGTTTATACCAAATTACAATCTAGCTTCCTATTATGTTTAATTTTACATCATATATTATAGAGAGCTGCATTTCTCTTTGGCATAGACGATTGAGACATCTAGGATCTACATTATTTAGGAAGATAATTTTATGTATAACTAGGCATAATTTGAGACATGCACATGTAAATTCTATAGAATTATGTCATATATATGTGCAAGACAAGATGATTGCTTGGCCTTCAATTTAGAAACTCCCATGAAAGTTACTACCAATGCTTCAAAGGTTGCATGGTGATATTTGTGGTCCTATTAATCCAATATTTGGACCATTTCATTAATTTTTTTTATCTTTGTTGATGCATCATGCAAACAATAACATGTTTTATTATTATCAATCTAAAAAATAATGTTTACCAATCTTATATCTATGCTTATTTATTTTCAAGCACATTTTCTTTATTATCCTATCAAAACATTGTATACATATAATACAAAAGAATTTGCATCAAAGTCTTTTAAAGACTATTATATTACAACATGGATCGAGTTGACATATTATGTTCCATATGAACGTGCTCAAAATAGACTTACAAAGTTATTTATAAAGCATATATAATTCATTATCTGGCCATTCCTTCAAGAAAATTTACCTGCATCTATGTGGGATCATGTAGTTTTGTATGCTGCAACATTAATATGCCTTTAATATTCTTCTCTAGAAATTATTATACCATAAGAGCTCATTTCAAGTTGTGTTCTAAATGTATCTAACCTATGGGCGTTTTGTTGTTGTGCTTGGATTCCTATACCAAAACCTCAATGGCATACCATTGGAGCTCATTGACAAGATGACATATATGTTGATTTTGATTCATGAAGTATTATTTGTATTATTGATCCATGAATTAGAACATTGTTACGTGCATGTTTTTAAAATTTTCGTTTTGAAGACTATATATTTCCATCTCTTTGTGGAGAAATATTTAATCAATAAAAAAATAGAATACTTGTATTTGGAGTAGCAAAAATATTTATAATGAATCTTGATCTGAAAACATCTTTGGCTGAAACTGAAATTGCCAAGATTTTGTATCTAAAGCAAATTGCAAATGAAACACCTAATGGCTTCAATGATGCACCTTGAATTACAAAAGTTTCAATTAATGAGGCTTAGAATGAACTTGCTTAGATCACAATACCACTAACTAATATACCTCAAATTAAAACATCAAAAGCTAAAGGACTCTTGAACCAGATAAGCAACCATGAAAGAAGAAGGCTATAAGATGTAATGATTCTAGTATCGTTTATATAGAAGTTCCTACTAAACCTATAGAACCATCAATTAATGATGATATATTCATACAAATTATACCTTCACCTCATGCAATAAAAAATCTTGAAATTAAGAAAAATAAAATCAAGTTGAATACAAAATCATCTGTTTTATATTAAGCTATAAACGACATTTGGAATAACCATCTATTATAATAGATGAATCATTTGCATTCATGATTGAAAAAGCTTTTTCCTACAAGAAAGAAGAACTTGAACCTTAAACCATCAAAGAATCAATGTGTTACTCTGATTAGTTAAAATAGAAAACTACCATTGAGGATGAATATGCCTCTTTGCATAAGAGGAAAGTCTTTGGTCCAATTGTAGATACTCTTACTTCTTGTCCTATGGAATATAAGATGGTATTAGTATGGAAGCGAGATACTAAAAATCAAATAATCTATTATAAAGTTTGTCTTGTTGCCCAAGGATTTATCCAATAATTTGGCATTAATTATAAATCCACATATTCTCCAATCATAGATTCAATTATATTCCAATATATTATTAGAGTGGCAGTTCATACCACCCTTGGGATGCATCTCATGGATGTATTAACTGAGTATATGTATGGTTTTTTGATGTAGATATTTATATAAAAGTTCCACTTGATTTTAAAATATGAACTTTAAATGCACCTGCTCCAAGATAATATCATGGTATTAAATTACACAAGGCCTTATAAGGTTTGTAATAATCTAAACACATGTAGTATCAACATCTTCGAGTTTATTTAATTACAAATAAGTTTGTAAGTCATCTATTAATCCTTTGTCTATTTATCAAACGAGATAAAATTAGTTTTGTGATCATCATTGTATATGTTGATAATCTTAATCTAGTGGGTACTAAATTTGCATGCATTACAACTATTAACCTATTTATTTGTGAGCTTGAGATGAAAACATTAGAAAAAACAACTTTTTACATTGGTCTTCAGGTTGTGTATGTCACATATGGTAGCATTTTTTTTCTACCAACTTATATATATTAAAAGAATATTACGGAGATTCAATATAATTGATACTTATCTATTATCAACACCAATAGTTGGACGTGGTTATAATGATCATAGTCCATACTGTCCATATAAAGTAGAGGAGGAAATATTGGGAGATCAATATCCATATCTTACAGCAATTGGAGCATTTTTATATTTAGTCACATCTATAAGACCAGATATTCCATTTGCAGTTAATGTTCTTGTAAGACAATGTTTGTTCAACACTACAATATTGGAATGGCATCAAATATTTATTACGTTATTTAAAAGGTATTGAAGATTTGGAATTATACTACATACAATTTGCAAATCCAAAATTGGTTAGATATTTTGATGCAAGATATAAATCTGATATTGAAAGAGCTAAATTCTAAACAAGTTATATATTATTAAGACATGGAGTTGCAATATCATAGAAATCGATGAAACAAACTATAACTACAATTTTATCCAACTATGTAAAAATTATTGCTTTACATGAAGCATCTTGAGAATGTTATTTGCTGCAATCAATTGATAAATTCATTCAAACAACCTATGGACTTTCATATGATGATTCTCCAACTATCTTATATGAAGACAATAGCGCTTGTGTTGTACAGATGCAAGTTGGTTTCATTAAAGGCGACATGACAAAGGATATTGATCCAAAGTATTTTAGTTATAACCATGACTTAGTTACTAATCAAGTATTTAAGATCAAGAAAATTGAATTTGTAAATAATCTTACTGATCTCCTCACCAAAACTATCTCTTTGTGCAACCATCGCCAACATACTTATGGCATTGGCATGTTGTGACTTGTTTTTCTTGAGCAAGAAAGTTAATGAACTCTTGAAATAATGTTGTATTCTTTTTCCTTCATCTATGATTTTGTCCTTGAATATAATAAGGTTTTTCTAGATAAGATTTTAATGAGGCAATAGCTGATGAACTTGCGAGATTAAAAAAAAATGTAGATAATAATTCTATGCAAATTTTATGTTATATAAATATTATGATGAGTAAGAAGGAGTGTTGAGAGTATTAAATGTAGTTGGCACTCTCCACAATATTTACTATAGTTTACAATAAATATTGTTACTAAAGTCTTTGGAATGTAGTGGAAAAAAATTGTTTATCTTCTCCCCTTCTCTTTGTATATGTGAGACAACCACATCAAGATACTCCCTCTTGTGTGTTGTGTGTGTGTTATTTGTACACATTACTTCTAACTACTCTTATGTCTCTTCAAATATTCTCAATAATTCTATTACCAATAGTAAAGAAAACACATTATTCTGCAGTCAAACATATGAGAAAGCATTTGTGATCTAGGCATCATTTAAGGTCAATGCAATGCATTGATTTAGTATAGAAGAGCTTCTCTCATGCGATCAAAGGAGAACTATGACAGAAATGGATGCTTCAAAGTTGATATGAAATTTCTTGCCCAAGTATAATTTCCATTTGACTAAGTCATTCTGGCATGGCGACTGGTGCTCTGGACGTGTGAAAAAAAATATGTTCACAGTGTGAATACAAAGTAGTTCTCGACGATATAAAGTACTTGTTGAAAATAAAACTTTGCAGTTAAATTCTTTCGAAATACGTACAATAGCATGTGAAGTCTCAGTTAATTTCAAATGGATGAAATCCTGCTAACGCGAAATACTCTCAAGCCTGCGCTCGGATTGTCGAAGTGGGTATCCAAAAAGATTCCATGAGTCTTACATTGATATGAGTGCCAAACATACAGTTTCAATTTTCGCGAGTTTGACTTGTACTGTACGAACTCTCCAATCAAAGGCAGACTCACCGATCACGAGCAATTCAAAAGAACAATTGAGTCACAAGGAGTACGCTGAACAGTGCGCACTCAGTCACCACAACCTGTGTGGATTGCAGACTCAAACAAGTACGATTTGGTAGTTGTGTGGGTCTATGAGCACCCGAAGCGCGAACAGTCCCCAGAAGACCTCATGACACTGTCTGAAAATGCCAGGCATGGACTCAACAAATAATAAGAAAGGTACCAACACCTCCTTGTGGTCCCTCATCGTGTTACAAGTCTTCAACAAACCAGAGTCCAGGTTCTAATGTACACCAGCACATGATGATTGCTAACAATAAGAAGGTGAAAATCAAGAAAAAGTATCAGCTATGGAAGAGGTGAACTAAATGGTAGGGACAAAGAATCATTTGTAAAAATAAAAATAAAAAACAGAAAAAAAAGGAAAAAAGAAGAGAAAGGCTGCGCATTGACAGCGCTCAAATATCAAAACCGGACTCTGGACTACTCCGGAAAAGGAATGTGTTTGTAAACTAGATACCAGCTCTGCGAGCAGATTGGAAGCGGCCAGCTCTCGCCCTATCTGTGCTCCCAACCTTAAAAATCAACAGACCATGTCTTCTCAGCTACCAGCTTCAGTGTTTTCGAGGTATCAGTAGGTACCGTGGCCATAATCTGCACCATTAGACACACAAATATGTACAGACTGAGGATACGCTCTGAGGCCATTTCATATAAATCTCAAGCCCCAGAGAATCCACCCTTTCGTAAGTTAACATTACAGCAAACTGCAGTTCTACCTACAGAGCCACACATCTTCAGATTTTCCTAAAACAGTCCCCATTCCTCTTCCTTGAGGTACAAGGTTGCTGGAGATCGAAATCGAGACATGAAACGGATGATTTTGAGACATACCTTGAATTGGCCATACTCCTTCGAGTCTCGTGTCCACTCCAGACCAACAGTGTTGTGATGGGCATCAAAACCGCAGCGAGCAGTATCATGTTGACTGACTTTCTTAAACGCGGTAAAGTGCCACGCTTCCGTCCCAAAATCATACGAAGGCTCCAACGTGGTCCCGCTGCCATGCACGTATGTATACTTTAATGATCCTTTGTGTGTGTTAAAACTGTATGCCCCGGTCACCTTATTCCGCGCATCCAATGAAAGGCTGCCTTCCAACAACGTCGTGTTGCGTTTCTGGGCATGAATATACGTCAACTTCAAGGGCTTCTGAGCAATCTGTGCCCCAGCCATGAACTGAAACCTGGGAGCCTGCACTTCCATGAGTTCCACAGTGAGGGAAATAAATGTAGGGTAGATTTGGAAGGGCATTTGTATGGTCTTCAAATCTCGAAAAATAATGAGAGAAACGCCCCTAAAATGTGGAAAAATGTGGGATGAAATACCAGTCGCATTGTGAAATCAGACATCCATGAGAAGCAATAATGAGCAGCGGTTAGGGTGGGGAAAAACCCCACAATTCTTCATACCTCAGAAAATCCTAGATGAAAGAAACTTCTTATCAAGATGGAACGAAGAAAATAAGTAGAGGTCGTGAGAAACATGCTCTCGACTGCAACTAACACACTACAGGTCACAACTATGCCACCGAGCGTTTTTCGCAAATCAATTCTTCTGAGGTTGACCTTTAGGGTTTGGTTATACTCAGGCATTAACAGAGCTGAAAGTTTGCAGGAGCTCTATTCGTCAATATGTGCACCGCTCATGCTCCTTGCCATGATTTTCCTCCAAACCCCGCGGGGGTCGCAGTAACATATCACGATCAATCAAACATTATGATGTGTACTTCCAGAACGAGCGGAACCGGTCGTAGCTTCGAACAGTAAAACTCCCATGAATTGTGTAAAACAAAGTGTTCCACTGCGTGGTAGATACGACAAAAGCGCTCGATGGAAAAACTCACAATCCTTCCAAATGAGAATCAAACAACAACCTCACCGCACTGCTGGATTCTCAAACATGCCAAAACGTTAAAACGAAAAAATCCCCGAAAAACCTCAAAAATACGATACGATAGCCTGACGTTCAGTAGACAGGTTGAGTAAGACAAAAGCGAGGTGGAGACAACAAAAATGATGTGTTGGGGCAATACCAAAGCCAACATTGCTCTAACTATATACGTCACTTTACTCGTACCAAAGAAGAGACTCCATCGTCAGTCACCAATAGACATGAGAGGAGAAAGGCAAGGCCAGGATAGAACATGGGCTGCCAGGAGCAAAACCCACCTGCGTGTGCATGTCGTAATCAATCATGAAAGCGCCAGGCTTCTCAACACCAAACGCGACGCCGCGCAAGCTGACGCCCTCTCCTGGCGCGAAAGTAGTGTCGGCGCAGGTGGACTTGAGCTTCACGTCGCCCACGGGGATTATCACAGTGGCCGTGGCCGTATTGGCCGACGAATCATACTTGGTTTTCACCAGCGCCTTCAACATGACGCCCGTTCTTTCCCTCGCCTCCACAACCCAACACTCACTCGCTCGCAAAATCGCAGCACCGCGCAAAACAAACAATCTCCTCTCCTATCCTCTCCTCTCCGCTCAGAGCCGCAACATCGATACCCACCAAAACCCACCGAGGTTCAATCGCATCGAAGCGTTTACGATCAATAGGCGCAACTCACAGCAACAAATAGAAATGGGTTCGGAGGAATTTGCACGGGAAGTGTCGGGCGGAGGCAGAGGACGCGGCCAGATCATGGGTTGAGGGCAGAGGATGAAGATAGAACAGCAGGGAGGATGCCCTCCGGGGCAGGCCAAAAGTGCTGCCCGGATCCCGCTGCCCGCCCATATAGATAGATATCGTCCCTGCCCGCCCATATAGATAGATATCGTCCCTGCCCGCTCATATAGATAGATATCGTCCCTGCCCGCCCATATAGATAGATATCGTCCCTGCCCGCTCATATAGATAGATATCGTCCCTGCCCGCCCATATAGATAGATATCGTCCCTGCCCGCCCTCACGTGCTGCCCGTGGTCTTGTACTCTTCCTCAAACTTTCGCATTCACATCCTTTCATGCAAATTCTTTAGAGGTTATAAACATGGTTAATGGTTCATATTTTTAGGTTATATTTTTAAAAAATAAATTGTGAAACGTAATCCTCATTAATTTTTTTGCCTCGATATTACATTTTGTGACAATGATTATTACTATTATTATTATTTTATTTTTATCCTTTGGCATCATATTTTGTACATGAGGTTTTAAATGTAACCCTTAAAAATCTTCATTCTTTATATTATTTATTTTATGAAGTTTATGTAATATGCTAAAAAAGGAAAAAAAAAATATGTATTTGATATTGGAGGTTTATCAAAAACACATTACAACAATATAAATGTATTTACATCATATTTTTAGGAACCATATTTTTATGATTTTTTTTAATATATAATTTGGCAAATGTTATATAGTAAAATTACTTAGTTTTTTATAAATAAAATTTATAAATTATAAAATTAATATAAATCAAATTGGTTTTAAAAAATTAGTATTATAAGCAATATTTGTAATACATATAATCTTTTTAGGTATTAAAAGTAATCTATAGCATACTTCTCTGCAACCAAATTTCTTATGTTTTTGCTTCTTAACATACTTCATAAAATTTCTAATAATTTTATTATTCAAATCAATGTTACCAATATATTATCAAGTTCACAAAATTCACTTGAATCTTGGATTTACATTTATTAATGATAAAAATAATCTCATACAAAAAAGACAGCTTCTTTTATATTTAAATTACATGACCACTACTAGCACAAAAAAAAAATAGCTTAATAGAGTAGCAAGCAGTTTTTATGCTTTCTTTGTAATATTTAGCATTTTTTAATTACAAATTTTATTTAAAAAAAGCAATGTAGTTCTCCACTTTTTTTTCAAGTATGTTTGCATTCTTTTCTTTTAGTGGTCTTAATCTCCTATATTATTTTCTTCTATTTTTTCTTTGTTTTATTTTTTTAATTATTATTTTTATATATTTCTTCTATTTTTAAAAAATATTCTAATTTTTTTAATATACTCTTTTAATGTGAAGCATTTTTTTTTTTTTTGAAGATTTATCACCAAATAAAGAATTTCTTTGAATTTAAAATAAAATATTAACTCTTTCTAATTGATCATATTTCTTTTACAATAATTTATGTTATGTTATAAACTATATGCACTAAAAGTTTTTATACTATTAAAGTTATTATAAATTAATAAAAATTATAATATTTTTTCTTTTGTATAGAAATTTCTTATACCTAAGAAGTATTTTAATTAAACTTACAGTTATTAAATTTGATGCAAGATGAACTAGAATTTTCAATTCTAATGAGACATGATAATAGTTTTATTTTAGTTTTTTTAACTTCTTTTTTAACTTCTTTTTGTACTTTTAATAATATATGTTTCTAAATTCAATCTTAAGACAATCTTATTGGCTAAGTTGAATCATATAATTTACATATCTATGAAACATATAAAATTTAATAATTTTACATAAAAAGTGTTATAATTTTAATTTGTTAATAATATTACTTCTTCAACACAAGGCTTTATTATGGATTCAAAATGCAATATATAAGGTGTTCATTTATTCTTTAAAATGAAACCACTTCATATTATTTTTCAATACATTATTTATAAATTTATTTGTTTTATTTCATTCATATCAAAAATTTCCACCAAAATTCCTAAAAATATATCATTTTTATCTGTTATAGATTGTACTTTAGCTTCACATACTACATACTTGTGATCTTTAAATATCATTTACTAACAGATCCTCAATATGCAGAATGTAAATTATGGTTGTTTTTCTGTAGTGTTGTTAAACACATAAATCTACACAAAACAAATTGAGAAGAAAAAAAATACTTTTATATTACTAAAATCAAAATTTTGAAATTAGAATCAGTGTTGCCAATTACAAAAAAACAGGTAGGTTCTTGAATCAAGACTAGAATACAAGGCATTGACAAGACTAAGGATAGTGTCAATATTGCCTTCATATATACTAGCTACAAAGAAATTCTTATACATTATTTTTTAAGAACTATAATATTTGTGGCTTAAGTAGCAAGTTGTAGATTGTTTCGAATGCAACTTCTGAAAGTATTAAACTTGTAGAACAAGTTTTGATAGTTAATATAGCATATCTATATGAGTCTAAATATCTAAATTGGATTTAAAAATCAACCTTGATATTTCTTAAGGAAGATCCTATCATCCTTACATGTTTCTATCTACTTCTACTAACTTCTATTTATGTAAGTAATATAAGCATCTATTACAAGTATTAACTAATCTATCTTTTCTTTTTATATTTATATTTCTCTAGTTTATTTATATATATTTTATAACATATGTTACTCCATACAAAAGAATTTACTTTATCTATGTATATATATATATATATATATATATTTTGACAAATAATTTGAATGACCAATTTTTAGCTTTAAATTTATTGTAAGTTACCTTCAAACTTACTAATTATATGCTTTGCATTAGTTTCTAATATTAATAATAAAATAATTTTTATAATTTTTAATTATATATTTTAAATATAAATTAAATAATTTTATGGTTTTGTAAGTTTTAAATATATTTTAATGTAATATCTTGTATATTTTATTTATCTATACCTACATGAATTTATTTTTTTACAATTAATACCATAATTTACTCCTAAATCATTGTATATTTGTAAAATAATATTCTGTACTTATTATTAATTGATTTTGTTTCCAATCTTGATTCTTATATCTCTATGCTATTTTATAAAATGTTGTTCAATTCAAAATCGTTCTAACATTATACTAGACATTATTTTTATATAATATATTATTTTTATATTTATTTTTTCAGCAAAATTATGTATAACATTTCAACATCATCATTTTATATATAAATGAACCATAAAAAAAACTATAAAAAATAACCAATATAATATTTAAAAATTCTACAACTTTAATATCAAATAGTTTGATATTTGTTAGAACATGTTCACATTTTTTAAACGATGTTGCTTATGTTACTACAATTTTTACTAATGCCACTGCAATCTATCATCCACTTGACAAAAATTTTAGTTTCTTTTATTCTAATATATTTTTTTAGTATTTCTAATATGTATTTTAATTCTGTAGAAAGTATGTTTAATTTTAGTAAAATTATTATAAAATTATAAGAATAACTTTTAAGTTTTTTACTAAAAACATTATTAAAAAATACGTTCTTATTCAAAAAGGTCCTAAAAATATACAAATATATAAATATAAATATAATATTAAAAAATATATATACTATTTTATTTATCATTTCCGAAAAAAAGTGGGTAGCATGAGGTGGTTGGCAAGTTGTGGTGGCAAGAACAAAAATTGTAGTAGCATTAAGAATATCCTTTTTAAAACCACTTCAAATATAATTTATAATTATTTTTATAATAAATCTAACTGAATTTATGGAATTAATTATATAACTTATCAATTTCTATTACTTCTTGTAAACATAAATAAAAATGTGGCCTATTTTGATATTTTATTTAATATATATTATTATATAATGAAAATTTGGATGCTATGTCAAATATGAAATATTTTTGAGAGTGTAATTAGATTTTTATAATGTAATTTTTGTCTTGTTTATTTAAAAATTATTTTGTAGTAATAAAATTTTAAAATTAAAATAAAGAATATTAATATTTTAGTTGTAAAAGAATACAGCTAAATAAATTAGAAATACAAAAATTACTACTCATATAACATTTAGTTTAAAATAATAATAATAATAATAATAATAATAATAATCATAATAATGCTGTGCAAAAAATGATTTGCTTGAAGTAAACCATTAAAAGCTTATTTATGTGTAAATGTTAAGTTGGAGATTTTTTTATTTTTTATTTTGAAAATAAATTGTGTATGACAATATACTACAAGCATCAAAACTGAATTGATAATGTATTTTTTGAAAAACTTCTAAGATTGCAAACCATCGATTATTTCATTCTCATTACAGCAGCGTAAACACATTCAATTTTGTTTGAAACTAACAACAAAATAATTCTTTGTTAATCTATTTGAAAGTTAAGCATATGAATTTTCCTTAGAAATACAAAATTCCCCTACATGACACTTGAGTTAAAAATATAAGAACATAAATGGTTTTTAGATGAAACAAAATATAATTTTAGATAATTTTAATATTATAATCTAAATTCAGCAAAACCTCGATTTCAATAAATTTGTTTTCAAAAATGTAAATAATAAATTGCGCTGTTAATACTACAGTCTTAAAAACACTATTAAGTAAAGTATTAATATTTATATTAAATTTAATATTCAAAGTTTAAACAAATGAAGTTACCATTTAAACGTACATTAAATTAATTCAGAGAACTTGTTGGTACTTCATGTTATTATTTAGAAAAATCAATATTAGAACTGTGAAATTAAATTGGCTTGTAAAAACCTAGATATTATATTAACACAAGTCTTGTATATAAGAGCTATGTAATTATTGTTTTAGAATTAAATAAACTAGGAATTAGAGACTTTATGATATTTTTTTAATAATTTATTCATACGTCAATTATATAATTTTGTAATTACATGTATTAAGATAAGGTATAATATTTTGAATAATATAACACATCAATTGTAAGTAAAAAATGCATGATTTCTTTATTGAATGAATTAAGAACTTCAAACTAGAATATTGTATTTTGTTAAAGATTCAAATTTTATTTGTTGAAGTTGAAAATTTCATATACTGTATTAAATCAAAAACTTACAAAGTCAATCTAAAAAATGTTTTAGAATTCTTTTTATTATTTTTAATTAACATACGTGGTTTGTTAGTGTATTAGTTTTAAAATCTTAGACGTAATATCCATCTTCCATTTACATAGGTTGAAGATCATCAAACACAATCATAAATATATTTTTGTGTATGTATGTATATATCCTATTTGTTTTTATTCATACTTTCTCATAGGCTTTAGTATTTGTTGTTAATTTAAAGATATAATGGATATAAATATATAGAAACGTGCAAATATTCTAAAAACATTTAATCATAATACAAGAAGTTTTTGATGGTTTCTAAACAAGAAATAGATACCAATTTAATATTAGATTATCAAATTTAAAATTTAAGTAAATAAATTAGATAAATTAGATTATTAAAGTATTATTCTACATAAAATTTAAAGCTTGTAAAAAAAATAACATCTTTGTGATGGATATGAATAATTATTAATTTTACTATAGTTTTTTGTCAAAAAAATAGAATTATGAAATAAATATGTTGTTATTTTATTAAATAAAATAATATAATTTGAAAATAAATAGTATCAATTTTTATAAGATATTTAAAAATATGTTTATTAACTAATAACTACTATCAATTGGAGTTGTCTTCTAATATCAATGTTCAAATGCCATCTTCTTTTTTATAAATAAATATGTAATGATACTACCAAAAACAACCAAATAAGTTTTTCGAATGCATCTTCTGACAAGTTTGAAATATACTTAAAAATAATATCTTTATGTGTAACAAGATAATCAACAAATTTTACAAATACTTACATGGCTTTAAATTGCATAAATTAAAAGTGTAAGATGTGCACCAACTTTAGACATGTATTGCATGCACAAAAGTAATATATAAAATAAACATTATTTAAATAAATATAAATTTGAAACCAGTAAAATTAGATCTAACTGACTTCAACCTTACTAATTACCATAGAATATAAAAACAAATAATTTAAAAGTAAGTTTGGTGTAGCTTCTCAAAGATAACTATCAATACTTCGGAACCTTTGACAACCAACATAGTATCTGTTTTCACACAAGTTCAAGCTACATGATCCAATGCTACCGTGAAGTCTGATTGATCATCCAATTTTAATCAACTAGACTTTAATATAGCATTGGAACATGTAGCTACATGAACAAAAACCAATTATCTGGACATCCCAGATAAATTGGATGTAACAATCAAGCTACAGGAACAAAAATCATTATGTAGACATCTAATTCAAACCACATATTCCAAACATAATTGATTTTTTATTGAAATCTCCATAGAGACTGAAAAATACCATGTATTGTAAGCATAATTCCCCAAACCCAAAGTATAAAGCTTAACGTGGATGTTATCCTTGTCAACCATCTCTAAATTTATAATATGCATTTGTTCACCAATTTGGTTTCATACTAAAAGCATAGGGAACAAAGATATGATCAAAGCTAACTTCCCTCAACTGTACAGGCATTCACCATCTCCAAATGAATAGTAGATCCTCACAACGTGAACTTTTATCGCACGCATGATATATTCTAAAATGGATGTCAGTTTGTTTCTAGTTTCTTGAAGCCAAGCTTTTAAGACAGCCAATAGTGGCATCCGATGAACGCAGAAGAAGAGCACTAAAGGACCAGATAAGTGACGTAGCTTGGAGTCTGAGCAAAGAACCCTGGTTTGTGGGTCAGCTGATGTGCACCACGAAGCTTCGATTGGGCCCCATCTCTGATGGCTGACTCTAGTACCTCATCAAAAGATGCTGAATGTCTTGTACACGTCCGCCGTTTAAGTGGTGGACCAGCAACTGAACGCATTCACTAATCCAGCCCCAACACATTCGAGTCCAACCCTGCGCACAATCGATCGTCAAGTGGATTCGTGGCGGACCTACAAACGGTGGTGAAAGGGAGAAAAAAAAAAAAAAAAAAAAAAAAAAAAAATCTTAATGCGTGCTTTGGATTGATGATTAGTTGAGAACCAATGATCAATGACAAAAGCAATGCTTAGTGTTTGGGACAATGGCTTAGTACCTCCAAAGTACCTGCAAAGTAGCTTTTCCATGTAACCCAGCTTGCAAGCACATGGAAAGCTCTACAATGCCCTTTACACTATGAAAATAGCGGTCAGGACTCAATTACTTCGACGCGCCTTAGAAGATGCCCGTGTGACTAATGACTCAGAACTTTCGGTTCACTGCAATTGCCATCTTGGAGGTAGACACTTGGGCATTCTCAGTTTTGAAGAAAGAAGTTCTAGTATACATCCCAGTTAGAGCCAGGTTTAAAATAAGCTTTAGATATAGGTACAAGCCAAGGAATAGAAGGGTAAGCGGCACCCAAAATGAGATGGTGGGAAGTTGGCACAGGGCAGATAACATAATTTACTGCTTCGAGAATAGAAAAATCTTCCTGTATTGGAAGATCCAAAAGCAGACTGGAGTACCCTCCTAATACCTTACAAAGACTTCAAAGCTTTTACATCTACTGCCGCGAATCGTAACAATGTTCGCCATCCAGTGATGAAGCTTCCAGTGCCCACAACTGCAGAAAAAGCACGTTGTTGTTGCAGTAGCAAAGCCTGTAATATGACGATGTCATCTTCAACCTCAACCAAATATGCGATTGCTGAAGGAACCACACATTTCCACACAGTTAGATCATTACATCACAGCAGAGTTGAGGATGTGCAGAACATGCAGAATGCAAAGATGGCACATTATTAAGTTTCCATAAACTACTATAAAATTGTTTACTTAATAGCAATCAGATAGAGTTCACAATTAGTACCTTCAGCGTCTCTCCTTAACTATAAAAGCAGTCGTTCCGTAAGGTCTCTTCAAGGTTTGAAATGCTAGTCAATATCAGCAACAGAAAACCCCGTTTGACCTTCAGAATAAGAGCTTTTATTCGTGCTGTAACAAGAGAGCAGGTGGAATGAATAAGTCCCTGCCACCACCAATGTTTCTGAGAGACATGGAAGTGCAAAGCTGTTACACGAGCACACTTCGTACCTGATCTGCTGTAGCTTCAACACAACTACGAACTTAAATGGCTGGACTATATCTGCTGCTTATCAGAAAGCATTCCATGTTCCTTGAGTCCTCGACTTCGTATCCCACGCAACTTCGGCATCTACCTGCAGTGGTAGGAGCATATGTGAGCAGTCCAGTCCAGAATAATGTCACGCTCAAAAGGATTGATGTTATCCTTAGAATAAGAGCTACAAAATCCAGGAATACTGCTCCTAATCCTACATCAACTGTGAGCTTTGCATGACCAAAAAAAAGAACTCTTTAAACCTATCAGGCGGTATACGTTACTGTGATATTGGCATCTGAAACTTCAAAGTTCTATATAACTCGTCTTCAAATGCATATAAAGCAAGTTCGAAGCAACCAATACCTGACATAATAGTTGTATCCCTGACAATCGTCGGCCGTCTTACCGCAATGCCGGTCCAAATGATTATCCAGCTCCTCCCAATAAGCTAATTAAAGGCAAGATAGCCTCTTAAATATCAGCGGTGGGTCTATTACAGTAAATTCATAGGAGTCTTCGTGGATGGATCTCAAAAAGTCCCTAAACTTTGAATGGTTTTTCCGTCGTCAATCTAATTGGCTCGATGCTGACCTTTAGATGCCAAGACTTTATCAACTACTCCAGACATGCTCTCCCAAACAATGGGCTTACTAAGATACCCATCTAAACCAGTTTCTTCCATGGGGCCACTTTCTGGAGCCAAAGCATCCGCAGAAAGGGCATAAATGGGAACTTTAGAAGTCGCCAAGGGTAGAGCCCTTATCGCCCTGGTAGCACTCAGTCCATCAAGAACGGGCATCTGAAGATCCATGAGTACGAGATCATAAGCTTTTCGTTGAACGGCTTCTACGGCGAGCTTTCCATTGCTGACCAACTCCACATCATGCCCATAATGTCTGAAGATTTTCCGAATCAAAAGCTGGTTGACCTTGTTATCTTCCGCAACCAAAACACTGATCGTCTTCGTCTCTTCTTTAGCGCAAACTGCTCCAGGTGGTGGCAGAGGTGGTTTTGTGGAAGAAGGCTTGTCAGTGGAAGATGCTTCTAGTAGGAGTTTGCTAGAGTCTTCAGCGGGCAGAAGTGGCAACACAAACGTCACTATCGTGCCTTTACCCATTTCACTAATCACAGGCAACATCTTCCCTTTCATCAGCTCAAGCAACCCCTTGCAGATCGCGAGCCCCAGGCCTGTTCCAGAGGAGTCACGTCTTGGTGCCCCAGCCTGTGAGGCTGTAAATAAGGTCCCAAGCAGCTCCTTCGCGATGCCAGAACCGGTATCAGCAACTTTGACCTCCAAATAGTGGTTTTTTCCTTTCACCTCAACTGCAGGCTTCGAATCTTGCATTCCTGTCCTTGCCATTGGGCCAGCCAAATATGGCGTCGGAGGTTGGTAGTTAAACCGAAGACTGCCACTTGCCGTTCGTTTCATTCTGGTCCCGGGAGGTTTCTGATTTTCAGGTGAAGGACCAGAAACATATCGCCATGACAATGTGATAGTCCCCTTTTCTGTAAATTTTATTGCATTGCTGACTAGATTAACAATAATTTGCCGTAGGCGGACAGGATCTCCACGGACAGCAACAGTAGCACCTGCCGCTCCGTTGATAACAAATCTCAGACCCTTCTCTTGCAATTTTTTCTCGTACAACGTTGCAACCTGCTCCACAAGGTCACCCAGAGAAAAGTCGATCTCTTCAAGAAAGAGTCGGCCGGCTTCCATTTTACAGAAATCCAAAATGTTGTTGATGACCTGCATAAGACCCTCGGCCGACTCCTGCATGATTTTGACAAGCTCCTGCTGCTGAGGCTCTAGTTTCGTCAGGTGAAGGAGGTCCAGCATCCCAAGCACACCCGTCATAGGAGTGCGAAGCTCGTGGCTCATCATGGCCAGAAACTGTGACTTCGCACGATTCGCTGCCTCAATGGCCTCACAGGCTTCCCGGTCAGTTGTGACATCCTCATACAGCCACAGTCGACCATGGGCAGAACTGCTACTAACTGGGAATGATCGGACATGAAGAACACGCCGCGGTGCTTTCAACACCCACTCCTCCTCGATTTCTTGAGGCTCCTCTCCCGAGATCGCCTTGTACCATTTCTGAGGATCCGTTCGCTTGCCACCGCTACTTGCAGCCAGCTTCTTCATAGCGCCGGCAACCCTAGATGGCTCCACTTCACCATGACTTGGTAGCTCTAGTAAAGTGGCCGCGGCAGGATTAATCAAAACTTGTCCAAATTCGTCATCCACGAACACTACAGCTTGAGGCATCATCCTCAAGATTGCATCAAAGCGTTTCCCGAGGCGTTCATACTTGCGTGCCTCGATTCGTGTTGCAAGCAGCATGGGCAGTGACTGCACGGCCTCAGCGAAAATGGTCTCCGCTGTCGCGGGAATCTTCGACCTGTCCATCCACAACCCAAAGAAGATGCCTTCGTAAGCTTCCAACTTGAAGTGGCGCCCAAGGAATGCCTCTGGCTGCTTTCCAAGGATCTCTGTAAAATCCACAGGAAGCATGGACCCGTCCACATGCTCCACTATCCCGTTCACGCGAGCATGAAGCTCGGGCGAAAACTCAAACAGATCCGGAAAACTCAAACCCGTGCTCAAATGTTTCGGTACCGAGAGTAGAGTCTCCACGAGACGTTCCGCGTTTCGCTGTACAATTCCCACCGCCACGAGATCTGCCTTCGATGAGGTGGTGACGATTTGCAACACGGAGAACGGCAGATGGACGAACACTGCACCTGGTGACTGCGGAGGGGAATCCCAATGGAGCTCTCTCCGTATAGGTCTGGGGGTTTCGGGGTCTTCCTGCACCAGATCCTCAGGTGCCCCTTCTGCAAGCAAGCTCAGAAAGTGGTGGCCTCCCACAAGGAAATTCACCGGGGTTTCACTGTGGGCGCTGGAGAAGTCTGACTCCCTCTCAGTATCCATCAAACTCTCTCCACTCCATAAATAGTGAGGCTCTCTGCTGGCCCAAGGCTCAGTCAGTCCTGCTCCCACCCCTATGTCACCCGCAAGCATGCCCTGTCCATATGCCAGCAATGACATTTGTGACTTTGCTATTAAGCCCAAATCAGAAATATATGTCAAAATCAATCCACCATATAGGGAACCCTCCAAAACCTTGGGGACAAGCTACTACAGGGTGGTGGGTAATTTGACAAGAAAGAACACCATTTCCGGCATCCAGTCTGCCGAAACTCCTGAGAAACTACGCTCCAAACACCCCCAGACGCCCCCCCCCCCCAAAAAAAAAATTCAACCCGTCACAAGAGACGAGTGGTGATTAGCCCAGTTCCAGACAACGACTGTCAATCCACTGAGGTTTTCGGCACCGTTTCAATAGAAACTCTGTACTCCGTTGAATCACTTGCAGGATTGCAAATCGCCTGCGAAACTCCACCCCTTACCCTCTACAACAAGCTTGAATTCTCAAACTGCGGTGAAAAGAGGGAATCTCACACGGCAGGACCTGAAATTTCATCCAGTTCCAATCCAAAAAGAACCGCGGTAATTGATCCCAATTGATACTTAGCTCGCCTTGTCCATTGCCACCGACCACGCAAACGGACACCATATAATCTACAATGCCTAAAAAGGCGTATCTATTTGAAGCGCACCCTCCCGTGCCATAGTTGCAAGGGGTATGACGTGCAATCGTCTGAATCCTGACCTACAAACCACGCAGATACTTGCAATTGGTACGAAGAGAATCCAATCTCTCGTTGCCAGGCAACCCACTATCCCGCCAACCAGTCACACACCCTTTCTCTCCAAGGCCCCCAACGCCTATCACCTCGTCCTCGCAATCATTCTCGTTCCACCAACCACTTACACGGCTTCGTTACATTCCCTAAACACAACCTTCACAAAGCTCTTCCAATCCCACCAATTCTTCACAGCGCATCACCCACAAGAACCTGAAAACCCACCCAAAGAGCTCCACAGATCTGTATCTCCATCTCTATACCTCTCACACAAACCCACGTATACGAGAAATAATAATAATAGTGAAAATCTCTACACCCAGTCCCTCCTAACCACTACAGTCACAATCCGCAAGTCTCGTTACTCCACCAAAGCGCTCCTCGATCACGGCCAACCTTACCCGAAATCCAAAACCATCAACAGTGTCTTCCCCACGGCTTCATCTCCGACTTGGCTACCGCAACCTGCAACAAGAGACCCTGGAGCTGCGATGAGGACGACGACAACAACGAATGATTGCGCGCATGGGTGGTGATCAAGGTCGAAGCGGCAAATGGAAGTGGAGGCTTCAGATGGGACTGGAATAGCCCGGCCGCGGCGCGTCTTCCTCGGAGAATGCAGTCCGCATGGCTTTGCGGGTGGTCCCGCCATCGCCATGGCCTCACCGAAGCAGACGCAGAAGCAGTGCATACCCATGTCCCGTCTCGCTGGCTATGCGGTCCAATTCGCCGCTGCAGGTAAAATATGGGTCCCGCCACATACATCCACAGATCTCGCTCCGTCGCAGCTTCCAATCCCGGCGGGTGCTTTCTCGGGTCACCATCGAAGGAGGCTAGCGCCTTGTCGCACACAATGGACCGCCAGCCCTCGCGTTCCTCGGGAACGCAAAAGCCAAAAGGGACCATGACCACGATCACAATGACGCCCACACTCTCCTCCCCCCCCCCCCCAAACTATTATGTTCATCCTTTGGCAGCCCCATTCCTACACCCCTTTCGTACATTTTGGATGATTCTCATCCATTTGAGTCTCATGGTTTGGCTACAAAGGTGAATGAGTATGCCAAAGGATGTTGAAATTCTTCAAACTCTTAATTTTTGTTGAACGTCTACTACAATTAATCTAGTCATCCTTAACATGTACACTACATGCATTTTTTGTGTTTGTTCTTGCTAGTTCACAACTCAATGTGTGTTATTATTCTCAAAAATATGTCTTAGAGATTTTGATATCAAATGATTTTGTTTTTGTGTCTCTTAAATCATCTAAAGAAACCTAATTTGTTAGTCTTGAATATTTAAATTCATTTTAATTTCAAAGATGTTTCCTTTGGTAGCTCTTATGTTTATCAATATAGAAATGTTAGTACCTCTAAGTTAAATCTTTAGACAAAAAAATTTATTACAAAGAGAGACTCAATTGATTCTTATTTCAAATCTCCCTTCTCTTGCAAGTATTCTTTTACTCAAACTTGTATCTCTCATATTCTCATAGAACCACCTCTAAAAACTAGTACGTGATTCTTGGGTACTAATCAATATCTTGTACTATTCACTCCTAAGTATCAACCTATGCAATCTACACTTATTATTGTATTATCTTTTTTCTAGCATTTCTTTATTTAATGTGTGCTTTTGTATTTATAAATGCATCTAAAATCAATTATTTATATTTAAGCTAATCTTATACTATTATAAAAAAAATAACATGAATTCTTAATCCTGCATAGTTAACTTCCTTTATTTCTAAGAAGTTTATTTTAAATTAGTCAAAAATATATATTTATACATTAACTTCAGATATATATATGTATATATATAATTCTTTGCTTAGAATTTTGACATACCACGTAATGACTCCTTTTGACACAAACTATTACAAATTGGGTTAAGTTGATATGCTATAGTTTCTAACTAAGAAAAGCCATATGTAAGTTACAAATATTCAATGGAATCATCACAAGATATGGTGTTCATCAATAAAAATAATTTCCTTTCACACTCTACATCTTATGTATTTGAATTGTATGTATATGAATAATAGGCATAAGAATGAATAAATCATTCTCTTGTTTCAAATATTTGATTGAAATTGACACAACAGTGAACACAATCTAAAAGCATAAAATATTTGTGATCACATGAAGAAACCTTAGATAGAAGAATGAATTGGATTCATTTGAATATACTGTTAAATTTTATTCAAATGATATATAACTTCCTACTTTTTCTTACATGCACTTACATGCAAATCCATGCATGATCAATTGCTCACAAATTTCAAGTGTTCCAGAAATCTCTCAAAGGTGAGTCAAATGTTAAGTGAAGGACCAACATGGCCCCATTTCGGCACAAGGGTTGGAAGAACACAATTGGCTGGTAGAGTTTGGCCTCATCTTCTTTACTTCCAGCATTAACTCAAGCTATTTCTCAACCTCAAGCTCCACCCTTCCCACTTGAGGCTCTAACTGTTTTGCAAGGCTGTGTAAGCACCAAATTAAAATGCCAAGTGGTTGAGTATAAAATCATCACAAAGTAATACCATATGAAATTTGATTTACACTTTTCTCCACTACTGTCCACTAACAATTGCTTTATGAAAGCAAAGATAGCAACAAGTACAAGATTCTTTACTTTTCGTCACATCAATAAATCCATGTCTGATCTTTTTGATCTATTCTATATTGTATCAATTGAAGGATATCACATCATTTTCCACTCGGTTCCTCCACTTCCCCTCCACATGCACCCATATATATATATAGATATAGATACATGTGCACAGTCAGAAAACAAGCATTGGTATAAAGGAAGCCCTTAATTCTTGTGCTGTAAAGTCAGCCTCCTCTTTTTAAGCAACCCTACATCCTGAGGTAACTGGGATTTGCTTCAACATCAAACACTGGCCTTGTTTCCTGGCATTCAAATATTCAGCCCTAATGTGTTCAAAACACCAAAGTGAACATCCTTCTGTAACTGCATCCCATAGTTTGTTAAATTTAGGTTTTGGTTTGTGATCATCCATTTCTGCTGTTTTACTCCCTTGCATGCCAGGGCAGCCTCTAACAAGCTGGTCCTTATTTCTCAGCCCATGTCTATATATACACACATGACTGTCAATGCGGATAATATGCTGCCCATGATTTGTGATTGTTGTTGGTGTTATTACAATACAATCTAGATATTTTGTGATGAGGGAGACACAGTAGGAAATGTGAAGCTTTACTAATGCCTCTGTGTTGAGCCACACAAACAGCCCCTGCACTAATATGCCAAATTAGTCCTAATCCAATCTCAGATCATGTGAATTTTGTTGGTCAATGCTAGGTGGCACTTAAATTTTATCCATTACTCAAGGGTACATCTCTGTATATAGGTATTACCAATTAGAACTAGCAATTGTCCTGTTCTTATTTTGTGTATTCTTCTTCTTCTGTGTTTTCCATTCGTGTCTTTACAACTGTCATTCTTTGTGAAGGTTGTTTTTAGGCACTGCTATTTGGAATTCTTGCAAACAAAATCAATGCAATCTTTTCTTAGAAGTATGCATATTTTATGGGGTTGTTGTGACTTATGCCATAAACAAGTTTGCATCAAATATGTGTTGTTGCTAAATGTACTTAACATGGTTCAGGTGCAATGGACTAGGCAAATAGATATCATTGAATGTGATTCATTTGCAATTCTTGTAGGGATTGAGACTTCTCTTGAATCTATTAAGAAATTTATAGTATTATTCAAATAAGCATCTTGTGAATAGACATTCTTCCTTGAATATTGTATTGCTTGCAGCAAATGCATGTAAGAATGAATAATTCCAGTCCACAATGAAGTTATCCATAAACAATTTGGTGTAATACACACTGTAAACTGGGGACTCAAAATTTCCCTGCATCAATGTTTTAGCAATCATTGTAGCATGTTGTTAGATACTAAAAAATCAATAAGTCATTTTGCAAATGATTAATTTAATTTTTTTAGTAATATTTGAATGGTTGTATACTTTATTAACCTACTCATAAATTTTAGTAGTATAATGGTTTTTATTTACATACATATATACGAGTATATACATATATATGTACTGTACTAATACGAGTACATATTTCTCCATATATATATATATATATATATATATTCATGGATTATGTGGTCTATATTCATTTCGAATTTGAGTTCACACAGTTGCAAAGAGTAGAGTATTATATTTGTCCCCGTGGTTAAGTAATTTTAAACAGATCAATGAAGTCACGCAAGTATACTGTATCGTCAACTTTAGCTATAGTATGCTTTATAAGTATTTGCGTAATAGTATTAAAAACATGTGTATGTATGCATCGGTGTCGAGATAATGATCTCGTACCCGGTCGACACGCGAAGGCATTGAGACCCCGTCATACACTGACCACACCCAACTTCATTGAGACCCTTTCATACACGGACCTTACGCAACGGCATGGAGACCCTGTCATACACGGACTACAGGCAACTGCATTTGAGACCCCTACTTCACGCGTCTACATTGAGATACCTTTCATACTGTTGGGACATGCGATTGTATTGAGAATCGGTTTTAACCGGATATGATACCCGAGCTTGTTTGTCCGGATCTTGATAGCGAGGGAAACGGTTTGCAGTGGTGGGCGCAGAGTGTGGGTCGTCGTCGTCGTCGTCTTCGTCGTCGCTCAAGCCTCCGGCACTCAGCAGAATCACCGAAGCACATCCAAACATGGCAGTTTTCCCCTTAGAATCTTCTCCATTAGGGTTTCATGCTTGCTTCCTTGGGTTCCTCAGCTCGCCGATCGCAACGTAATCCTCTTCCATTTCACCAATTTCCTTCTCTTGCTCTTTATGAGTGCCTGAGTGATCGTCACGAGTCGTTCATCAATCACAGCCGTGGCTCATCCGCTGAGGTTTGTTTTTACTACAGTCTTTCGTTTGCGTCGCTGATGTTGGAATCTTCTCGTTGTGACGACTTTTGATTGCGTCATGAGTCCACTGGATTTTATGAGGTCATGTGCTTTGTAGTTGGATTTGGAGGAAGGAGTGTCTAGTACAGTGTCCGTAACGAATCGTGATGAAAGAATTGAGTATGCTAGGTGGGGTAGAAGTATGTTTCCTGTTATAAAAACTTGGAAAATGAATTGAAAGATCAGGGAGGTTTGCTTGAACAGGGCACTACAGTTCAGGCTAGATTCCTTGTAGTTCACTGGTTTCCGTTCAATTTGAGAGAGTTTTTATGTCGCGAAAATTGGATCAATTCTGTTTTTGACGATGCGACTACAACTCACGTGTATGGGAAGTCCAAATCTCCGCTTGCCTCCAGGCTTAATCTTGTATCCAACTAGCCCTAAGTCTTAAATACGCTGTGCACGTGGATAGCAAACTTAAGCTCGGTTTTTGGCATCGGTAGGTCGAAATCTAAAAAATGCGTGAGCTTTTCTGGATTTTCTGGATTTTCTTTTCTGGACAGAAGTGACCATAGTTCAGCCCTGCTTACATTAAACTAACAGATGTTTGCTTTTTAAGATAAGCTGTTTGTTTAAATGTCTGTAAAATAATTGACATCTTACAACCTGTATAAAAACTATCAGGAATTTTTATGCTCGCTGATATTTCTGCTTTTCTTACAGTTTTTAAAGGAGTTCGTTTTTCACTTTTATCTTTATTCCATTTTCTCTTGCAGGGATGGCCGAGGAAGAGGTGAAGACATTATTTTTGTCAGGTCTTCCTGATGACATAAAGGAGCGGGAGATATACAACCTCTTTCGCAACTTTGAGGGTTATGAGTCCTGTCAACTGAAATTCTCCGGACGTGGATTTCAGGTCTTTCTCTGCTCATTCATATAGCACATGTGCTGGAGTTGTTGTCTTTTCAACACGTGCAGGGCATTCCATGTGGTAATTTTGAGAGATCAATGGAAGTTTTCGTGTAAGTATGTTCAATTGCAGAGCTACAATCTTCGTGCATACACGCCGTCGGCAATCCTCGTGTGTTGGGGTTGTGTAGCTGGTTCTCTTACATTCGTTGCGTTTGCAGATAGTGGCATTTGCAGTTTTCACAGACCAGGCAACAGCTTTAAAAGCAAAGGAAGAACTCAATGTAATAGCACCTGGAACATTTCTCATCATGCTTCTTGTGAAGAGCCTCTGCTATCTATTTTTCATGTCTCATTCGCTTTGCATCTAGTTAGTTATGTTGGTTGAGTCATGTTGATATGAAGTATACAACGTTGCTGACTCAGTTGTCCTCTCGCAGGGGCTCAAGTTTGACCCGCAGACAGGAGCGGTGCTGCATATTGAGCTCGCTCGCGCTAACTCTCGCACCAAGCGGTCACGTTCAGGTTCTTAACTATTACTTTTGAGGGTTATTCATGGAAGGAGATGTGTTACATTGCGTATGGGATGATTGATCCGAGTCTGATTGTAGCACCTTCACATGGAGACACAAGCACTTAGTCTTGATTTTCTTCACAAATTAATATAAGTACCAAGAGGAGTTATGAGCATCCTGGTAAGTAGGTTTAATAAGGTAGATTACAATTAAAGCTGAACCTCAAGGTTAAGGTTCATTTTGAACCACTTTCTTATTTTAGATGGCAAGTAAAACTGCTATGGTCTAGTACAACTTTATTTGATTATGTTTGCAGGATGTAAAATTTAGGTTATAATAGTTAACCGATATTTTGCGGTTCCAACCTCACCTTCTTCCGCAGCCAGTATTTATGTGATGCTTTTCTTTTTTAAAGAACAAAGTCAAGGCTAGCTTACTCACATATTTCGTTCAGTTGATTGTTGTTCTTATTTACGAATTGTTGAATTGGTTACTGGAAGGTCAGAGGATGGAGCTACAGTTGCTGAAAAGCGCACAAGAGGGCCTCTTGGAGTAGTTGGGACATTCGCTGAGCCAGGTACGGTTTTCTTTTTGGGGCAGAAATTTTTCTAGTTGTGTTCCCTCTTTCTTCCCCATCTGGACTGTGATCTGATTGGTTTGATGTAGAACAGTTAAGTTAAGACTTTGAGGGTTGGCTGTTTGCAGCATCTTGGCTTGATGTTGACTGGCTTTGCATGGTCATTAGCTAATGTCAAGCAGAGCTTGAATGTTCATTCGATCATGAGGGAAACTGAGAATAGTGGTAGCGTGTCATTGCTAGAAGAGATGGACCAGTCGTTGCAATGCTAGTTCCTTTTTAGCAACTTGACCATGGTTTGTGCTAATAACTTTTGCGGAGTGTCTCTTGCCAGTCGTATGTTGTATGGCATAAGGTTCTCTTTGGATGGCTAGTACTTGCCTTCTGTCAATTACTGAAATTCTTGAACACGGTGAAGCTTCATAAGTAGAGTTTTTATACACTGGAGAAATTCATCGATCTACAGTGTGGGGTTCGTACAACCAATTTGAGTGTTGTATTAGTTATCCTCTTGAAAACTATTAGTGCACTTTGTTCGGACATTACTCCTGTAGTTACATAGTGCACTTTACTCACAGTCAAGACACTCACGGAGAGCTTTTGTGGCACGGTTTTTGGATTCACGCTCACAGGGGTTGGAGCCACTTTGCACATGCCTGGGCTGCATCCCTCCATATTCAACGACATGCCTGGATTCCCCCCTCCACCGAGGTCATTTTTCACGCACATAGCCTACTTCCACTTGTAGTTATCTCCCAATAGTTGCTAAGGCACTCAAGTGTGTTCTAGCCACTGTAGCAAGCTCGCGATGTCAGCTGACTGCTGTTTGTATAGTCAAGGTAAAGAGTTCTTTTGTTTGACGGTTGTTCCTTGCACTAGTGTAATTTCAAGTCTTGCTTGGTCATAATCCGCTCTTATATGTCTGGATGCTGGTTGGTGGGGCGGTCCTCATTTCAGGAGTTCGCATTTCTTCATTACATCCTGAGGAGAAGTAGTGGGCCTAGCTGAAGTATTAAAATGATTTTGTTTTGCTCTAATCAGCACTTACCTATCTCGATGAGGTAGCCTTGTAATAAGCATGATTATTGACTTTATGAGAGCGTGGTTGATCGGAGGATAAGTTCTAGTCAGCAAGCTGTCGTTAGGATTGCTGCATGAGCAGCATATTGTAACATTTTCAATTTTGAGATTGAAGAAGTCTGGCGTGATCTTGAGTGATCTGTGAATTCTTGCGCATGGATGCAGATGTGCAAGGATTGACAAGTAATGAATTGGGTATTTTTTGCACCCGTTAGAATCTTGAAAAAAGTAGGCAATCCGTTCGAAACTTCGAAAGTTTATGAAAGTTTTTTGTAGTCTAAATTGGTAGCACCTCTTTTGGCTGCTCAGGGTCGTCAGCACAAACCATTGGCACAGGACTGACGCCTTAATTAGTGGGTGAGTAACATAGTGCGATGCCCAGGTTCTTCTGGATGAGAACATGAGCTTTCATCCTCTCCTCATTTCAGAATTTTAGGGTGTGTTACAGTGTGGTCGGAGGCAGTTGCTTGTGCATTTTAAGTCACAATCTTCCTCATGACTTCAACATTGGTTTCATTATAGTGCAGAATTCTGTTGAATCAAAGTTCATGAGACGCAAATTTTTAGGATTTGTAGTACTGGTTTAGGAGTGGCAGGTTCCAGGTCCTTAGTCGCAAGCTGTTACGTTATTCCTTATATAAATCTTGGAACAGCCGCTGGATCTATCAGTAGTACTACCATGAGTATGTAAGATCGAATGTTGACTTTTACTACTTTGATATCAATGACGTATGACCTGTGAAGTATCACAGGAGTCGCTACATGTTCACTCTTTGGAAATATTGAGGCCTTTAGATTTTGGAACTCAAGTTACCCTTTTCTCATTCGTTTTAGTAGCTTGTGAGGTCTTAGTTGGTTCCTTATGAATTTATGGTGGATTGAGGGGTTGCAGCGGTGGCATGATGGCTCCTCCATTCAACGGCCAAGAAGGTATATCAGGGCACATGATGGTGAGTGGCTTTTAAGCCCTTATCTTTCCTAGATTTAAATTTCATTGCCCTTTACACTGTTTGATACATGGTTTTGAGTAGCATCCTGGTTGCTTGTCATTGTTAAGGGTTTATAAACCTAGTTCCGCAATGAAGGAATATAGAGATGTTTTTATTTATTTATTATTTATTATTTATTTATAAATTAATTTGAAGTTCTGTTCTCTTTCTGTAAATCTTACACTAAGGAGTTGTCAGGGTAGGCCTATTTTATGCTCAGACACAATGTGTGCATGTGGAGAACATTTAATCGTAAAGTTATCTCAGCACATTCTGCTCACTTTATCCGGCCCCTCAACGTTGGGTTTAAGTATGTCGAGTTCATATTGACTGTTATTTGAGTCCTAAGTTAAGTGATTTTACCAATTTGCGACGGTTTCAGGGCATGGTTCCCCTACCTCCTCCAGCACCTGGGAGCAATCCCCCATGCTCTACCCTGTTTATTGCAAACCTGGGCCCTTCATGCACTGAGGAGGAGCTATCGCAACTACTATCCAGGCAAGGCACAACATACCCCCTTCCTTTCTGGCCCCCCTCTCTTCTTTAACAGTGCTCAAAATTTTCTTTTTGAATATGTACATACATGAATTGAGTTTTTAATGAACCAGTCAAAAGCGGTCAAGGTCGAAGACTATGACCGTCAACCGGTCTATTAGTAGGGATAATATCATGTCTTGGACATTGATGAAATTAGTCTTGTACTCACATTCTTTCGTCCTTTTTATTTATTTATTTATTTATTTCCCCCCTCTCCTATTCTAAAGTATACTGTTAATGCTAATACTGTGGGTTTGTTGCGCAGATACCCTGGATTTTCAAAACTGAAATATCAAATGAAAGCTGGTCAACCAGTAGCTTTTGTTGAATTTCAAGTAAGAACATCGGAAGTCACTTTTAGTTTCTTGAAACTTTTCCATGAATCTGAATTACTGCTACATTTGGAAACAAACAAAAACTAGGCAGTAGCACCACTACCCCAATATCGCTTTGCAGTCCAGTAATCATCGTACCGCTGCTGTATCAATGCAGGATATCCGATGTTCCACTCAAGCACTTTCGGCGCTGCAAAATAGCAAGCATCTTCCCGCGGTTGACAGAGGAGGAATGCGGGTTGAGTATGCTAAAGCAAAGATGGGTCAGCCCCGAAGAGACCGAGTGCATCCGTGAGCTGGGGGCATATGAATCAACCATTTCATGGACTCATTACTAGGCATAGAACCTGTGTCCTCACTGCAAACGCTTACCAATTTACAGACAGAAATTACCAAAAAGCCAGGTGATACAGTTCTGTACATTTCGCTAAATGTTAAGCCTATTATCGTATTTACCTCCGTTAGGTTACTAGTAGTGGTTTTTTCGCGGGGCTTGAGACTGCCTTGGGGCCTCCTTGGCTAGAGACTGTCTTGGGGTCGAAACCTCTTTCTTACAGCTTGTCTGAAGACCACCAAATTGGTGGTGTGCTCAATCCTGTCTTTTGATGCTCCATAGTTACTCAGTACTCAAGAAATGTGACTATCCTGCTATTGGCACCCTACTCGATGAAATTGGTTGTTGTAGTGGCTAACTTCGACTGTTGTTGGTTCGAATGATCTTGAGTCAGTGGAGTTTGTACATATTAAGAAGTCCCTGCAAATATTACTTGTTGAATTCTGAACCTCTCTACTCGTCCCTCGATCTTCTTCGTGCATTTGACCGCTATTTCTCCTAGCAACGTGGGGGATATTAATTGCCAAAGAATTTTGGTTGGAATGATCACAGCATAAAAACTGTAAAAAATACACAAGAATGTGTGTCACAGCATGATGCCGAAACTGCAATAAACAAAATGATTGAACACATCATGGTTCGGGAGTGGGGATGCGATGTAAATACCACAACAAAACGTGTTTGAAAAAGTGTAAAGCTTTGCAGTATTTTCCTTCATCCAACCAATTCAATATCTGATGAGATAACTGTGTGGAGAAACTCGACATTCCTTGCGTTTTTCCTGTCACTGCTCCCTTTGAAGACATGGATTCATTCCACCTTTCAGTCCCATTTTTCTTTGTCGTTTCTTAAGATTCTCCAAGAAGTGTCACCCACCATGCCTTGTGCAGCTTTTTTGCAGACAAATGGTTCTATTCAGAAGCTCCAAAAGGACAAAAGCAGGTGCTAATCTAGCAAACTGAAGCCGAAGGCTGCAACTGGAATTGTATGCCTTCAGACTTCGAGAGAGTACGTGCTTTGCTTCACATCCCACTTGGCCTGGTGAAGAAACTGAGGGGGTGCTCTTATTTTAGTACAGTTTCTCCTTTGTCATCTTTATCTTCATAATTTATTTGTCTATTTATTTATTTATTCATTTTTCAATGACCCAGCTCCACTTTCACTCGTAAAACCAAAGTTTCTCTGCTTCTCTTTTTTACTTATATATATTGACTTTTAAGGACGATGTTTCACGATTTTTCATCTTGTATGTGGACTTGTTCACGAAGTAGTTTTTTGGAGTGGCAGAAACTTATGCCATTGAATAGAGAAATAATGTGAACTAGAAGGTTCCATTTTTGTACTTAGAATTGTTTTCCAATGGTTTATCTCTTACGACAAGTTGTTCAACCATTTATTTGTTCCACTTATTTCCATCAATAAAAAAATGAAAAAATATATGTATGTATATTTATATCTTGTGTTACTTAGTTACAACTTTTGTTAGTTTATTTTTCATGTCAGAATCCATTATGTATTATTTATAACTTAAATATATTATTATTATTAGAGAATATTTCTTTTATTATTACTACAAATATTATTTGTACTTCTTAATGCAAAAATTACATAAATTGTTTCAACCAATAAAAAAAATATCTTCTAGATGATTTGACATGGTATTTAAGCATAAATGCTTGTATGTTTTGTTTTATATAATATTTTATTTGTCAAATATAAAATGAAATGCAAAAATAAACAATGGATAAATCCTTTTGTTACAAAATAATAAACATTTCCAAGTATTGCATAATGTGCACACCATAGATGTAAATTTATTCATTTACGTTAATGTTGTATGTAAATAAACAACCGCATCTATCAAACTTTCATTAAATAATAAATGGAATCCAGCCATAAATATGGATGGTGGAATACTTCATCCAACGACTCGTTTATCATTCATCCAAAAGCCTCCCTTCCTTCTCCCATCCGTTATCCCGCCTACTTTCCTACCTATCAAACTAGCTACCTGCCTTCCTACCTATGTACCGCCCAGCTACCATGTATATGTTGGTGCCTAGCTGCCTATGAATCCAGGTCACCATATCTGATTGCTGAGCTGGAGTGGTATTGCTGACTCACCCCTGCCCTTACTCAACGCGGAATCATTCATCCTCCCTTCATCCATCCATCCATCAAATTATCTCCTGGTCTTGCTTGGTTGCTCTATTTTGCATCAAATTTCAGTGCTGTTTAAATTATCTTTGACAATTGTGTAATATTTTTTACATTGTGTCATGATAGATACTGCAAATAGGGGGTTTTTGTTTTTAAATAGGAGGAGGATATGGTATCTTGTATAATGGTTACAATAAATACAACATTTTTTAAAATTATCACTTGCATTAGAATGTAATAAATGGATTTTTAATAAAATAAAATAAAATGAGATATTTTAATCGAGAAAAAAATCATTTTTTTATTAAATATATCATCAAATGATTATTGTGTTACTATTAAAAAAATTATTAGTTTTTTTCCTACACATATCTTCTACAACTGGCCAAATAATACAAAGAAGAAATAGATGCATTACTACCAATGCATTTTAAAATTTCAATAATACATTTTTTTTCCCTTCTGTATCTATTTAATCCATGTTAATAAAGTTTATACAAAAAAATCTTGTTAGCTAAATATAGTGATATTTTTTCTTTTATTATTTATTATTTTCAATTTGATTAAGTCATTGCAACACTACAATATTGATACATATTTTTGTGATTACAAGAATTTTATACTTTAGAATTGTGTTATTATTTACCAAATTAAAGATATTTCAATAGAATCCGTCTTTTTAATTAGTCTAATTGATATTTGCATTAAATGAAATCCAATTGTAATATGCAAAGTCATTGTCATACTTGTTTATTATAATAGAATGTGTCTAATTACTTATGTCCAAATGATATTGAATATGATTAAATTTAATAAAAATTTTAATATGTTGGTGAAGCTATAATATTTTAAAATTTCAATAAAAAACCACTAATTACAAATATTTTACATCTCATAAACTAATGAATATGAAATATCATAAATTTCTTAAAATTATATATGTATACATGTCTTTGTATATGTATATATATATATATCAATGTATATCAAATCTTTTATCAAAGTAAGTTTATATATTTTGACATTGTATTGTCATAGACATAACAATATTAGTAAAGATAAGAGTAATTATATAGAATTAAGTAAAATTATGTATATTTGATAATATATTGTGGAGAAGCTTTCTAGATGAAGATTTAGCTTTTTAAATATTTATAGGTGATTAGTAGGTTAAAAATTTGGCTAATAAGTTAGCCATGTGTTGCAAATATTCGCAACTTATTATACAAGTTGGCGATGTGCTGTAGATATTGACTTGTTATTCAAGTTGGATATGTGGCACATATGTTAGAAACTTGTGTTGCAAGTTAGACACTTCTTTTGTAAATTAGACATGTGTTAAATGATTCATAGAACATTGCCATATAGCTCTTAAGTTAGATAATATATGTTGATGTAAGAATGAGGTCTTCTTTATTCTTGTCAACCATGTTATATTATATGTTGTCTTATTTGAGAATGCATCAAGAACTTGGTTGTAGAAGATAAATGTGTAACTTGCAACTAATAAAAAACATGATAACCTGATTAGAATAAAAAGCTCATAATTTGCTTGGATGTCAATTGTCTTCTTTTTTAATTTTAATATTAATCTACTTAGAAAAATGGCTCCTTATTTCAATATTAATTTGTCTTTAAAATTTGTGAAAATATTGCAAACTAATTTTACTACTATTTCACAAAAAATAATTTGAAATCAATAAGCAAATTGCTCAAAATTGTAGAAGCCTTCAATAATCCTTAAAATCTAAATTTTGAGTCTTTAACCTAATTAAATTTTAATTAACTTTAATTTGACAACTCAATTAACTTTATATCAATAAAAACATTTAAAATAAGTAGATTCATATTTCTAATTTTAAAAATAAAATTCTATAATATTGCTAAAGTAATGCTAAAATATTCATATTTTTTTTAATTATTTAATTTTATAAAATCTAAAATCTCATAATGTAATCTTGATTTTGTAAAGTTCTTAAAAATTTAATATTTTTTTAGAGATTTTTTATAACTCATGTCTTTGAGAGTTTGACAAAAATTTTAATTTTTAATTTTTGTTTTTTTAGAAATAAATGAATTATCTCACTTCTTATTGTATTTTAAAGATTGCAAACTATCATCTTTTAATAAATATTTTTATTTTTCTTGTAATAATTCTTTCTTTAAAAAGAGTAGGTTATCTTTTTTTGTAGAAGTTTTGATTTAATATTATAGATTGTGGATTACCTTCATTTAATTTGACTTGTAGATTTATTAAAGTTGTCTATTATAAATATAAAAGAAAAATAAATTATGGATGATGTACTTGCTAGTAGTGAAAATAAATTTGCAGCTATTATAAATCTTCATAAGCTTATTAATACTCTTAGAACCTAAGTTTTATGGATTACTACTATCAACAATAAAATTAATATTTCTATATTTATACAAAAAATCAACAATAAAGTCTGATGTCTACAATAAGAAATTATACAACCAAGAAAAGTAAGAAAATAAATTTTATAAGTGAATCAAAAAGTCTTGCTACTATAATTTTGAAGCAAATAAAGTTTAATATGCTAGAGAAGTTTATTGGAATAAGGTCAAAATTTTAAAAATTTATACAAATAATTTAGCTCTATTTAAGATTGCATCATTTTCACTATTTTAATAAAATTACTTAAATTAGATTTATAAGTATATTTCTATTTGGAAGGATTATCTCTTAATTTTTATCTTTAATTGAAAAGAATTTTTGACACTTATTTGATTTAAATTTATCCTAAGAAATTTTTATAATTATATTTGGAAAAATTAATTAAAAACAAATACTAAAAACAAAATTTATATGTTTACAACAAGGATTACAATTAGCTACAAGATATGTTGCCAAATTTAAAAATCTTGCTTGCAATGTTGATTGAAATGATAAAAGACTTACCAACCAATTTTGATATGGATTAAAAGATAATATAATTTTTTTTATATTAATAATGTTAAAAGCTAATTCATTGAAATAATTCATTATTACAAAATATTAATACAACAAATTAATGAAATATATTTTAACTTCTAACCAAACAAGAAAAGATTCAATATTATTAATAAAGATTTTGCTTATATTATAGAGAACCTAAATATATTGCTCAATATTCTTTAAAGAAATAATGCTATTACAAAAAAAACAAAAAAAAATAAAAAAATAGTTATCAATAAAGAAAA